AAGTTATATGAAAATAACGGACCATGATTTTGTTATTCTGATCTAACAATATATTCATCAAATGTATTAACAGATTATAATGAAATATTATTTATGAAAAGAAATGATGATGAATTATATAAAGCATTAAATTAGTAAATATTTATTGTGTTATTGAATATTATTATGTTTCAGTTCGTGCTCACAAGTATACTTAATGCAACGTTTTCCGTATTTATGAATAAAGTAATAAAAAGGGATACAGGGTTAAATTGCAACTTTCAGGGCCATAAACTTTGGAAACTTCAATTACTAAGAAAATTATTGGAAGTTCGTTTGAAAAGAATGCAAAGAATCATTATTTTTGAAACACTTCTTTAATAGCAATAATATTTTTTTTAAAAAATTTTCCATATAACATACATACCATGCATAGAAAGGGGAACCGAAAAATCTAAAAAGATAAAATGCTAGGTTGTCAGATATTCTAGCGAAAATGTTACTTTAAAGAAATGTCGAATTTATTATTCATTTAAGAAATAGGAAAGACAATATTTTATTATATAAAAAATAAAGAAAGCTATTTATACCTTGAAAAGAGAATCTACCAATTCTTTATCTAAATACAAAACGAATGTAAATTCTATATATCGATATAAAAGTTCTACCACGGTTATGCGAATTTAATATATTGGATTTCAAATGTCATAAATGGCCGGAAAACCCGATTTGACAGTTTGGTCGACAGACTCAATCCTTTCTTTTTTCCCTGTTTGAATCCTTTTTGCGAAATGTAAAATATCAGCCATTTTTACGAAAATAACGTTACAAATGGCGAAGTATCTGCGAATAATCAACAAAAATGTCAAAAATATTAAAATGAATATCAAATGTAATATTTATATTACATTTCTTTCCTATATTCGTTCGATCATATATACAGTGCGCGAAAAAAGTTTTCGGAATCATATCTTAATTTATTATACTCTGACTAATTAAATTAATAAATATTTCGGGTTCAATTCCCTCCTACTCTTTTTGAATTATATCAAGAAAGACATCTATATAGATTATTTTTTTTACCAACAATATATTAACCTTTTTCTCTATATGCCTCTTAAAATTGCCTATAAATTTTCAATTGGATTGAGGTCCGGACTTTTGATGGCCAATCCAACAACCTCGGAAACCATTCTTCAGTATTTGATTTATAGTTTTCATATGAACGGTATATAAGTTTATATTTACATTCCAAACCTGCCATACTTATATAAAAATATAAGCTGCGTGACCATATAAAATTTTGTTGCTGATCATATACTGCAATACTGCGCGAATTATTAAAAGTTTTCTATACTGAATTTTTATTCCGAAAACTTTTTTCGCGTACTGTATTTATTAGATTATTTGTAATATTATTTATTATATTTGTTATCTCCGCTATGTTCATTAGGTTCATCTTATAAAGTTAAAAATTTGGAACTTTTCGTTTAAAAACCTCAAAAATTGTGGTTGACGAGTCTTGAGAAAAGATTTCTGAAATCCTATAATTGGATAAAGATTCTACTTTACCATTTCGAACCATTATCGTGTCCATATTGACTTTGCTTTGACTATGATAATTAACGACATAAGAAAATTGTGCAACAACTTTGTTGTTTACGTACGGCCTTAGTTAGGTTAAGAAATTTGCTTAAATTCCAGTTCTCGTCACTAGCGACGCAGCAATTTCTAGGTGCTATTCTGAAAAAGTTGACATGATCAAACTCAATAATCTCAATCGAGAACTAAGTCAAAAATTGACGAAATCATCGACTTATCAAGATTAAGTTATTGTATATAATAAGGAAAAGAGGAATACCAAATCCGGATACCTTACCTGTGGTTATGTATACTCGTTTGTTTTCCAAACACCGTGAATGTTTGTTTATAAAAGATGCTCATTTACAAATAGAAATAGATTGACGGAGCTCTGAGGACTTTAATGTCAAATTCTAGGAGCAGTGCTTCCGACAATCAAACTATTATAGGTGCTACCTTTTTTTAATTGCATTCCAGGAGACATCATTCAATATTGATATATATAATATATTTACTTTGTATGATAAAACGTTTATAAAAAATTTCCTATTATTTGTAGTTTCCATATTGGTCCTTTGAGATTGTTGTAATTGAAATTATTTGGTTTGTAAGTGGGATCAAATGTAAATCAATTATATTATTGTTTCTTTTAATAACATCGAGTTTCGTCAAAAATGGATTTTTTAAAAATATTAAGTGTTTAGAATTTAAGTTAAAGCGAGTATGGGATAAAGACTAATTAAGATATGCAAAATAATTAACTATAACGTTACGTTTCGTACTGCTCGATTCATTTATTTGATAATCAAAACATAATTCTAATAATATTCTTTAAAATTATTTGTAAATAATTGACCGAGGATTAATTTGTCGAAAAATTATGTTTATCATGTTTAATGTAAGTATCAAGTATAGCTTTTATAAATTTTTTATTGATTTTAAACATCAATATACTAGACATTTTTTTCAGAGATAAAATATGTAAAGTGAGGAATGAATATTGTAAGGAAATTTCTTATATGAAAAGTAAAGAAAAGAAAGTTTAAACACAGTTATATCTTCTAATCTGCAATTTCGTGACGTGATATATTAAACTTCTAATAGTTTAATGATTTATAATTCATATAATTTAATTTTCAATAGCCATTTAATTTAAGAATAAAGAAAGCCTTTAATTTTAAAGAAAATATTTTAATTGTCTAAATACTGCAAGTTTTAATGATCACAATTTCGTCATCGATACTCCAATTTAACAATCAGAGTATTATGAGTCAAAGAAAAAAATACTGAAACACGTTATCCAGTCCTTGATACGTTCTTTTTAAAGATGCAGGTAGGACAATATATAAGGAATCTGGTAAATTTGGTAAGCAAGTTATTGGAGTATTAGAGCAATCAAGTTTAGTTAAGGAGTTGGGCAAAATTGGTAGGATATTTATTGGAGTAGTAGAACATGCAAGTTCCTTTAAGGAGTTGGGCAAGGATGGAAGGATAGTTATCTGAGTATCAGAGCAATTAAGTTTAGTTAAGGAGTTGGGCAAAGTTGGTAATGTCGTTAGTGGAGTATTATCACAATAGAGTTCCGTTAAGGAATTAGGTAAAGTTGGTAGGATAGTTATTTGAGTATTAAAGCAATCAAGTTTAGTTAAGAAGGTGGGTAAAGTTGGTAAGCTATTTATTTTAGTATTATAACAGTTGAGTACTTTTAGGGAGTTGGGTAAAGTTGGTAGGATAGTCATTGTAGTATTAGAGCAATCAAGATTAGTTAAGGAGGTGGGTAAAGTTGGTAGGATAGTTGTCTTAGTATAATCACAGCTGAGTACTTTTAATTTCCGATATCTTTGCAATCCTCCTAAGGCGTTTAATATGACATCCTTATTAAATACTGTAATCGTTAAACTTTCAATAGCATCATCATAAACAATATCAGATACTCCAACATTTGATTCTAATTCTTCTACATTATTCTGACCAGCCAAATGATGAATAATTTCGGGATTATTTTTATTTGATTCATAATTATTCGTTCGATCATTTAACTGATAAAAGTTTTGACTAATTCGAGATAATTTTCCATCTGATGAAGTATTAATATTAGAAGAATAATGAAGAAATAATTCACTTTCTTGCATTTTTGTTTTTGTAATAATTAAATTTAATTTATCAACAACTTTATTTATAACTGGACGCTTATCTGGCTCATTATCCCAACATTCTAAGATAGTATATAAATTTTACGGTTAAAAATTACTTAGAAAAATATTTACGTTATAAATTTAATTAAATTTATGACAATAATATTTACCGGTATAAATATTAACATAATCTTTAGGTGTGCCGGGAATGATCTTTTCTCTAAGTCCTTCTAAAATGTCGATAGCTAAACTTACGTCGCATACTTCATCCTTAAAAGGAGGATATCCGCTTGATATCTCCCATAAAACTACACCAACACTGTATACGTCGCTCTTTTCATTCAGTTTAAATTGTGATGCATTGTCATTTCTTCGTCTGTTAAAATATTTTGGGTCAACATAAGGAATTAATACAAAAGAATTTGATTGATTGGTTGCTGCTTCAGTTCGTTTCGATAATCCAAAGTTGGCTAGTTTAATAACTCCTTGATGAATTAGTATATTGCCGGAATGCTATTAAATGTATATATATAAAAAAAAAAGTTAATTATTAAACAACACATTGAGAAAAAAATATATTTTATGAAAGATTACCAAATCACGATGCACAATTCCTTCGTCATGTAAATATGATACAGCACGAGCCATCTGGAATGCCAAGTTGTATTTATCTCTCCAAGTAAGTTTATCAAAATTACCCTTCAAATAGTTTTTAAGTGTATCGCCATCAGCATGTTCTAAAGAATTAATAATTTCTTTGCTTTTTTCTTCTCGTTCTCTAATTTTATCTTTTAAATTACTAATAATTTCTTGCTTGGCTTTAACTTCCTTTTCTTGCGCTTTAACGCTTACGTTTGATAATTCTTCTCTTGTTATTTTTAAATCAAGGTTTACTTTTTGAATTTCCTGCTTTCGGTTATCTAATTCTGCTAATATCTCAGTAAGTTTTTGTCCTGCTAATAATTCTTTTAAATTATCTAAATCCTTACTACCGATTTCATTCAATAAAAAGGACAGCAGCAATTGATTTTCACCGTCGGCTTTCTTTTTGCTTTGTTCTAAGTTCTTAATCCTTTTATTCAAGTCTTTCAAATCTTTTTCTAAGTTATGTTTTAA